GTTATTGGTTAACTTTTGACTACTGTTTTGGTTTTGTGTTATAGTCAAAAAGAGTTTTTATTTCTGTTACTTTCAAGTGTATTGATCTTACGCTAGACAGTTTACTGACTATGCAGATGGGAGGTTAACACCATGTACTATTGACAACCGGCAGTCTTGTTGAAGACATTGGAATTTCCTTCTGGTGCAAGGGAACTGACATTATTGCCATTCACATAGAGCTTTGAGGTTGTATTGTTAGGGAGCACCTGAAAGCCAGGTGACTGCTACTAAAGGAAGGTCAGAGCTTTTCTAGGATATTGGAAAGTCAATTCCATGACCTTGTGGTACTTCCACTCCCCTGGGCTTTTCCTGTTTCCAAGCCTCTTGCCTGCTGTAGCTGTCAGCATCAGCACTGTTTTCTGAGGACAGATTTTCAGTTTATTGAAGAATCAGAGTTCATGGAAACAGAGTAGTAGAAAGAAAGAAAGAAAGGAAAGGGCACAGATATACAAGCCAGCAGGAAACTGAGGGCCTCTGTCGTGTTTGTTTTGTTCCTTTGTTTGCCTTTGGAGGAGAGAAAGGCACAAGAATCTAGTGGACAGCAGTTTCTTTTTACTGTTATTATTATATGCCTTTATGATCCTCTTTCTTTCTATCAGCATTGATAGTCATTCTGTCAGTACAAAAACGCATAGAAATGCCATCATGGATTTTATTTATACCATTTTGAAGTAGAGAACGACACCGTGTGCTCCAGCTCTCCTCACAGAACACTGAAATTGTAATTGTTTCAGTTCAAAGAGTGCCTGTCTTCAGTGGATGTCATTAGGTGACTTGACAGTGTCTCCTCCTGTTTCTTCTCTACTAACAAGTAAATAAATAAATAATTTCAAACTTGCAAGAAATTTTCCAGATATCTTTATCTGGAAATTATAAATTTATCCTGTAATTATAAAGTTGCATTTTCATGAGTGTAAATGTAATTTATGTGTGCCTGTGTTTTTCCTCAAAAGAAGGCTTCTTGAACTAAAATTAAATAAAGGCCCTGAGAGCTGTCTGTTGCACACCTTGTCCATCTGGTTTCACACATACATAGTCGAGAGGCTGGTAGCTATTCATGGCAATGAATTAGCATTTCCACTTTAATTCATTTTGAGATAGAATCTCACTTTGTAGCCCAGGCTGGCCTTGAGCTCATGATCCTTCTGCCTGTACTTCCCACGTGGTAAGGTTACAGGTGTATATATACACCATGCTGGCTTGACTTAACAGTTTTTAAAGCGTTGGTGTACCAGAGGCCCTTTAGGATTTTATTAATGTGAAGTCTTGAACCTTGAAATTACTCATGATTAAATACTAAGTGGTTGTATAATAAATTGAGACCAATTTCTATTTTGTGATTCTTTTTTATTTTGTTCTGTAAATACAAGGAAATTTAGGGTATATTCAGAAGCAAATAGAAGCTGTAGACAGATTAGGTCCAAAATTTACTTAGAAATAAACTCAGGAAAACAACTTCATCTTCTGCAGTGCTAGAAGTGCGGTGCACTTCTGTTGTAGGATCAAATCCAAAAAAGATTTGAAGGAGTGTGAAATAACAATCCCAAGGGCAAAATATTGAAATGACTGAACAAATCAGGCAGTTAGTTTCAAGAACAAGTTCAAAGTCAATCATGTTAAACCCCAGATACAAACTTCTGTCTGTAGGACTTTCAAATTTGTTCTGCTAGAGGAGCTTTGGTTTATCCTTTATGATCAAACTTGAGAGTTATTTCCTAGGTTTGGGGACCCAAACTCCAAGCAAAGAGAATTATTTACTTTTTCTACTGTCTTTACAACATAGTACAATAATGTCTCTTTTCTATGTTTCTAATCAGGCCATTTCAACTTATCACAGTATCGGTCATATCTGGTATACAGTAGACACACAATTACTATTCAGTAATGGGTCACATCTGGTATACAGTAGACACACAATTACTATTCAGT